CTCTTTTCATAGTTGGATTCATTTGACTCAGCCCCCGTTCTACCCTGGGATTCTCCAACGTCCCAGCTGATTTTTTAAAAATTTGTATCCACTGCAGTTCCTTCACGGTTCCTTCTCCTTGCAGTCGTATAGCTTTTGACAGGTGCCTAGTGTCACAGCTGCGCCTCCCCGCGCCGCAGAGCGTTCGGTGACCCTTGCGGCTCCTCCTTGAGTCTCGCACTTGCTCACTCTCTCCAGCCTTTCACAGCTGCTCATCTGATTTCTGCCCTTAGGGCTTTGTGTGGCCTCGCTTTTTAAAAAATTAAATGTATTGGGGTGACATTGGTTAATAGGATAAAGGTTTCAGGTGTTCATTTCTGTAACACATGACCTGCGTCCTTCATTGTGTGCCCACCTCCCAAAGTCAAGTCGTCTCCCAGTGGTGACCTAGCTTTTGGTAACACCTCTTTCCTTAGACATGAGACATGAAAATTGTTTATAAGCGAAGCTTGCCTTGCATTGTAACTGGAGTTCGTTGGTACCAGGATTCAAGTGCAGCCCCGATACTTACGCTGCCTCCTCCAAGTCTCAGTTTTCTCACCTGTGAGTGGGTGTCATTGCAGTCCCGGCGTCGTGGGAGTTATTGGGAGGACTAACGGAGACAGCAGCCGCTGGCAGAGTGCCTGGCACATGATAAGTAATCCGTGATCTTGATGAAAATACTTCAAGTCTGCTGTCCTCTCATCGCCACGCTCACCGTCACCATGGTGGGGTATAAGAAAATAGAATGCTGACACAGCGCCCGGTGGCCGTGGGGCGCGCGTGGGTCCTGTGGGGCCGATGGAGCGCACGGAGGTGGCTGAGCGGAGAGGGCTCCGGCCCCGAGCCTGTCCCCGGCGGCTGCGCTGTGCGTTAGCAGGGGTGATCCTGGCGTTGGGTCTGGGGAGACGGAATTACCTGCCCAGCGCTCACAAATCGTCCTCAGCAGGAAGATTGTGGGGCCTCATGTTGGCTCTTCTACTTCGGGGACTTCTTTATTTTTATTTTCCTGAGAAGATGGTATGACAACACAGAAAGAACTTTTAAAGAAGTAAATCATCGTAATTCCAACACCCAAGTGAGTGGATGTTCGCTAGTTGCTGCCACTCCATGCCTGACGTTTACACAGCTGTAGGCGTTTTATTTATTGTGTCATCAACATTTTTCCTTGTCGTGCATAGTCTCCACAGTGCTGTTTCACGAAGATGTGACAGCTTCAACAAGGGGACACACCGTCCTTCCCGCTGTTTTGAGGCACAGCTTCCTCATGAATATCATTTTATTTTGCTTCTGCTCTTTTACTTCCTTGGGGGTATATTCCCTAAAGTAGGAATTTTCTGTCAAAGGATAGGAATGTCTTTGTGGCTCCATTTGGAGCATTTTACAGAAATAAATCATTACATCCCTTTTTGTATGTTAATTCATATTTCATCAATATGTAACCATTCGAGGGTGTGACTGAACATCTGGTGAAACGCTCCAGACTAGCGCTCCAACAGCTCATTAAAAAATTTATCATCTGACCATGTAACGCTGTTTTGAACACCATGATTTTCCCAGATTAATTTTCTCTCTGCTCTTGCCACCCCTCCCCCAAAACTTCAAGTCTTCCTCCTCCTTCCCCTTTCCCCCTCCTATCCCCCCCTACTTCTGGAGGGAACGCGCTCCCCAAGTTTTCTGAGAAGCTCATCTTTTGTTTACTTTTGGAGCCAGGTCTTGTTTGCATCTGTAAAACCTCGGCCATATTGTTGGCAGATGCCAGGGGCCCTGCCAGATAATGGAATGTAAAAGGTTGAGAGGCTTTTTGCACCTGGCTCTGTGTCCCAGTGACTTGGAGCTTTGTCCAGGACACCGGAAGGTTTTGGGTTTCACTCTGTCAGGCGCACATACCGAGGTGGTGGGTTTGATCCCTGGGAGGCGCCTGATCGATGTTCCTCTCTCACAGGGATGTTTCCCCCGCTCTCTGTCTTCCCCCTCCATCCCTGTCTCTCTGAAATCAATAAGTAAATCCTCAGGTGAGGATAAATAAATAAAGAGTTGAGGCTTTTGCTCAGGCCGGTGTGGTTCGGTCGGTCGGTCGGGTCCGATTCCCGGTCGGGGCACGACGCGCTGGCGGTTCCGTCGCGGCCGCGGCCCAGTGGGGGCAGCCGGCCCTCGCCCCCCCAGCGCGTCGGGCTTCTCTCTCTCCCCTCTTCTCCGCCTTCTTCTCTCTCAAAGCAGTGAAAGAATGTCCTCAGGTGACAGTTCTTTTTTTTTTTAAAGTGAGGTTTTTAAGTCATTTCTTGCAAACCTGGACACAAAAGAGTATTTTCTTAGAATAAAAAAACCCCATGGAAATAAAGATTGTGGGACTGGTTTCTAATTCAAACGTTCCCTCTGTGCGCGTAGCACGGGCAGCTGCGCAGGGGCAGCCGGTCGCGGCCTGGGGGCGGGGAGCGGGGCGAGGCGTGGGGGCCGCCCTCGCCGAGGAGCCCCCTCGGGTCCAGGAGGAGGGACGCGGCGAGGGTCAGAATAACCAGCGGATCGAAATTCGCTCCCCGTAACTCAGGATCCCCTCTGCCGGCGCTCGCGAGTTTGTGTTTCAACTCTCCCATCAATAGTTTCCTGTTTAGCTTTTTATTTTAACATAAGCGTAGCTTGAGAGTAGTCGAGTTTCCCATCAGCGTGTGATGGGGCCCCTGGCGCGGTCGGGGGTGACCCAGCGGTGACAGCCGTGCTTGGAGGCTGCGCGTGGCCCCGGCCCGGCGGCAGGGGCGAGCACCTCCGGCCTCCGGCCCGTCCCTGGAAGGCGCGAGGCCGCCGGCGCCCGCAGGCCTAGGCCGCAGGTTCATCCCCGCCCGGGGCACGTGTGGGAGGCAGCGGACCCGCGTTTCTCTCTCCCATTGATGTTCTCTCTCTCTCTCTCTCTCTCTCTCTCTCTCTCTCTCTCTCTCTCTCTCTCTCTCTCTCTCTCTCTCTGAAAGTCAATGGAAAAGTCAGTGAGGATGAAAAAATAGCTAGGTTTTTTAAAAAAACATTAAATTCTTTTGTTTAACGGGGCGGGGGGCGGGGGAGGTTAGTGTGACTTCTCATCTGTCCAGCAAAGATAAAAACAGGTAAGAGTCCCACCAACAAATTGGCTTCAACTAGAAGGCTGGACTCATTTTCCAGGTGAACGTCGCAGCTACGGTGAGGGGCGCGGAGCCCGAGGTCCGCGCTCGTTCGCAGGCCCGGCGGGGCCCGCGGGGCCCGCGGCTGCCCCGGGCGGGGCTGACGCCCGCCCACCCGCCGGGCGCCCTGGAGAAGCTCGGCGGGGCGGGGAGCCCCCGGGCGCCGGGGACCAGCCTGGGCGGCGGGCAGCCGCGTTCCGGGCCAGCGGGGCGGCTGCAGCGCCGAGCGGGGATGCGAGGCCGGTGGGGCGCGAACGGGGCTCAGCGCCTGGCGCCCAGACCCGGCCGCGGGGCGGCCCTCCGCCCGCCGCCCGCCTCGCACGGCCTTCACGGCCCTCGCCCGGGTGTCGTGACCACGCGGCCGCAGCCCCTCCCTCAAAACCGGGCCGTGGTGCCACCTGTTGTCTCTGTCCACCTCTGCTGCCCGTCTGGGAAACGAAGGTTCCTGGCGGGCAGAGATGGCGGCGTTGCTGGTGGCTGGAGCCAACCTGCTCGTGTTTTGTCTCGGGCTCCCGGTCGCGGGCTGTCCCAGCCCGAGACAGCACTGGGCTTGGCTGGAGGCCCGCCTTCTGGGACGGCTCCTGGCTCGGCCCGAAGGGCTCAGGCCCAGGTGCCCTCTCACCCCCTCCAAGCAGCGCCCTGAAGGTTATGCGCGTATGTCTGAGACCAGCGCGCCCCTTCCGCCCGGCGCAGTGCATTTTTCACTAAGAGTAACGCACTCGGGGTTCGCTTTGTTTTGCTTTTAGGGAGGTTTTTGGTTTTGGGTGTTTTTTTCTAGCAAAAAGTTAATACAGGGTCCAGCGCACATAATGCCCCTTTTTTTATTACAAAATCATAAGCATGTTTTTCTGTAACATAACACTATTACACTCAAGGACACCATATGACATTTCAGGTGAAATGTTCAAATTAAAACTCTAAATTATTACACCCATATTATTACCCTACCGACCGCATTCAAACAGGTGTTAGTTCTGCGGGACCCTGTACTTTGCATATTCTTGTCAGGACTCAAGCCTGGGCTAGTTTGGGGGTTATGGACCAATCACTTTGCTCCCCTAAACCTAGATTGGGGGTTTAGGACTAATCCCTTCTTCCTCCTCTTCTCCTCCTTCTCCTTGCACCTGTGTCCCCTCAGAGGAAGGGACAATAACTTGGGCCCCAGAGCTTACTGCAAGGGTCAGGTCGGGCAGCAATGGTGCTGGAGCTCTGCTGTGAGTTATAATGGTGGAGCTGTGACTTCTGACTTGACTTCTGCAGTAATTCTTTCCCCTTCACCCAAATCTAGCCCAGGGCTGGGCATGTGCAGAGCTGCTTGTTGAATTGTATAGAACAAACTTGTGTAGGTCGAGCCTCCCCACAGGAAAGGAGAAAGGGAGATGTCGTGGGGTGGGCTGGGCCAGAATAGCGGGTCTGAGCTCAGGGGACCCTGCGGCAGCAGCCTGGGAGGGGCTGCAGGCCGGCCCGGCTCCAGGCATTGGGGTGAGCTGCGTACCAGAGCTGCTGCCAGGGCCCCGGCGCCCGCCCGCCCGCCCGCCCGCGTCCATGCGCACTGCCCCGCCATTTTGGCTTTCCTTGATCTGTGTTTGAAGACACCGAAACAAAGCAGAGACCTGCTGCCTTCTTTTCAGGGATTCCCGAGTAATTGCTCCTTGTTTACTTTTGTTTCTCCTCACAGAATGGAATGACCTTTTAAAAAATGTTATCAGAAATATCCTCACCACTGTCAATTTATCTTAACGATAGATTGACTTTTGCTGGCTTTTCCATGTTCATCTCTCTGTGCTCTCAAACTCATCCTCATTTTTCTCCCTTCTTTTCTTCCTGGTTCAGAAGTTGGAGGGACTGGCCAAACTCCGGACAGTTCGGGAAGCGCCAGCCGAATGCGCCTGCTCCCAGGGTAAGTGAACATTTGATCCTCGCGGGCTCCTGACTTTTGTGGGCCTGTCTTCTCTCCTCTGCGCAAAACTGCCGAGGACATGATTCAGCTTATCACCTTGGTCTCAGGCTGTCTGTTGTACCTCGTGGCCCATCCTGGGGCCTTTCTTCCTACATCTTCCGTGGCAAGCATGGCACTAGTCAAAGATCCCAGGAAGCTTAACAGCCTCGGTTTGACGGGGATGGTGCTACTGATGGGGAGAGCTGAGAACAATTGGAGGTGGCTTATAATAAAGGTTTCGGTGCTGGGAAAGAGCCAGGCGCCCCTTCTGAAGCAGGAGGAACAGGCGCGAAGCAGCCACAGGGTAGAGCATTGTGGCCTCAGTTCTACTTTAGACTTTGGGGATTAGGGGTGATAACGAGTTCAAATTGGTTTTTTGTTTTCATTCCTTTTGGTCTAGGCAGAAGAAGGGAGCAGGAAACATGGTCTGAATTATTAAAAAAAACCATATCTCTCTTGGGGTTTGGCGGTGTAGACCAGTGTGGCTGTGAGTAGAGCCAGGATGTGTTGATTCCTGACCCATGTGGCTGGATTCCCGATTCGCATCAGGTCTTCTGTGGTCCTCATGGGCGCTCTGCGTGGACGAGGACTGAGAACCTAGGGGTGTCGTTTCAAGCCCCGGCACTTTCAGGGTTAGCGTTCGCCTCTTGTCGGGTGGACGGATACCAGCGAATGGATTGAAGATCATAGCACTTGCCAGACTTTTTTCCATGTGGACAAGGTGACAGAACATGGGTCACAGGAGCTGAACCCAGTGGTCCTTGTCCTCACTCTCACGCCTGCCAATAGTCAAGTTGCCTGGCATTTCTGATCTCCTTCTCTGGTCCAGGAACCAAGCTCACTCATAATCAACATCTTAAGGTTGGGAGCTTCCTTGATGTCTGGAAAGGTGGACCCCCCTGGTGTGAGTCTCTGGGGGGCCCTGGGGCCCAGCGGGAGAGGGTTTGATGGTCCAGCCTGAGCTAGCTGTTAATATAATAGCAGCGCCTGCAAGGTTTTGATAGGCGGGAAGAGGACATGGCATCATTGCTTGTTCAGTAAGTCAGAAGTTGAATTCAATGGGGAAAAAAATCCAGACCCCAAAAATGCATTTGTAGATGATCCACAAAATGTATAAAATGATTCCTCTTTCTTTCCCTCTCTTTCTTTCTGAGCGTTGTGTGGATGTAAATTCATATTAATTATGTGGATAAAAGTTTTTTAAGCTGGGAGGCACAATACATTCATAAGATAGGAAATTAGTTCTGTGGGTTACAGCAGCATTTTGAAATTTTGAGCAATCATAGACTTGAACACCAACTGTTGGAGGGAAGTTTTGGTTTCCGCTCTGTCTCTTTATAGGCATAACCTGGGTGGCGACATGAGCCGGGTTTTTGCTGTGGGTTGCTGGCAGGTAGTTTGAAATTCCCAAATACAGATGGCGGAGGGATGGAGAAGAGGAGGCCAGGAGGGGGCGGGAGCTCCTGAATAAATGCGGGCCAGGTCCAGACCTTGGTCTGCCACTCGTTAACTGTAAGGCTCTTCACCAACAAACGATGACCATATTACAGGAGTGGCTCTGCAGGCTTTTTTTGAAGTCACAGAGAAAGTACAGGTCAAAGCCCATGACCCAGACACAGTCCTGTGTCCTGTCTTCCCTTGGGGATCCCAAGCCACAGAGAGAAGGCTCCAAGAGGGCGCCAGGGAGGACCGTGGGGGCCGAACGGCTGGCCAGAGCGTCCGGCGCGCGGGCCAGGGCCCAGGACCGCCCCGCCCTCCGAGAGCGGCCCTGCTGGCGGCCCGCGCCGGGCTGCTGTGGTCGAGGGGCTCGTGCTGCCATCAGGCCACCCCGGCGGCGGCAGTGCGGCCGCGGCCCCACTCCGGCTGCACTTTCTCTTCTGTCACTTCGAGCTGGAAGACTCACTTGAGCCCTTTGGACCAGAGCCCTAATTGATGCAAAACCCTGGAGGCTGACACGTTTTCCAACAGAGGCCTTTTCTCCAACACCAGAAGCCTTGACTCACTCCCTTCCTCCCCGGCTCTGATCTGCCCTCGGGCTCTGGGAGTCCAGCCACGCAGACCACCCTCTGCAGCTTGGGTCCCCATCTGATTCGAGATACCCACAGATCCCCCTGCCTGGCTCCTTCCCACGCCTGGGGGACACTGTAATCTTTTGTCAGACCCTAGGATGCTGCAGACAGATATGGAGGCCAGGGAAGGGGCGGGGCTCTTCTTGTGTGCTGCCCATTGTGAAGCGGCCCTGGGTGCGGTGGGCATGGGGCTGCGGGGAGGGGCCGGCTGCTGCCGCTGCCCCGGCCCCAGTCAGTGGGGGGCGGGGGACCAGCACGGCTGGGCCTGAAGTAGCCTGCGACCTTGGACAAGGGAGGGGCCCTTGAGCCTTGCACCCCTCGTCTGTAAAATGGTGTAGTGGGTTGAACTGTATCCCCCTAGAAGTTATGTCTCAGTCCTAAGCCCCCATATTTATAAATGTGGCCTTATTTGCAAATAGGGTCTTTGCAGATATAATTAAGTTAAGGATCTCGAGATAAGATCATCTAGGATTTAGGCCGGACCCTAAATTCAATGACGAGTGTTCTTATACGATGCAGAAGGGAGAGATTTGAGACACAGAGGCACTCAGAGGAGACGGCCATGGGGAGGCGGGGGCCGCGATCAGACAGGCCCAGGACCCCGGGACTGACCGCAGCACCCCGCCGCCCCGCCCCCGCCCCGGAGCTGGAGGGGCGTGGCAGGGGTTCTCCCCGCCTGCCGGCCCATCGAGTTTGGGTTCTGGCCTTCAGAACTGGAGAGGATGAACTTCTGTCATCCGAAACCACCCAGTGTGTGGTAATTTGATGCAGCAGCCTTGGGAAACTTAAACAAATGGGAATAATAATCGTCCTGAGGACCTTACAAGGTTGCTGAGAGGACTGAAACATGAGGGACAGAGGAGCTTCCTGCCTGTGGAGCAGGTGTGAGTGGGGCCCAGGCGTGGGGGCTGCCACCTGGGCCCGCGCCCGGCTGCTCCTTCTCACACCTGCCCCCAGCGAATCTTCTCCTCCTTCCACAAGAACTCCCAGCCTTGAGACAGTGCGACTGACCCATGTTCCTTGGGTATTCCAATGCCCTCTTATGCTACCTATGTACTTAAACGTTTAAAAATTGTGTTTAAAGTTTTAAAATGCCTAATTTCGAGTAGAAAATAATATTCGATGTGATAAAAAATTCAAGTGCTATCAAAGACTACGTGTGGAAAACACCCTCTGGGGGCCCCCGCCTCGGGCTCCCCTTCCCGGGCGCCCCCTGCCAGTTGGCTGACTCCTGCGAAGGCGACGTGGGCTGACGGGGCCTCCCGATGCGATCGAAATGCCCATGGTCCAGTGAGCGGCCGATTAGCTGCTTGGGGTTATTGAGCCCTTGAAAAAGGCCTGAAACAACTGGCAAAGTGAATTAGTATTTAATTTTAATTAATTTTAATTTAAGTAACTATACGTGTTGCTGGTTGCGATGGTTTCAGTCTGATTTTTTGCAAGTACTTTATATACATTGCAACAGGGTAGCGCCCTTCCTGTTTTTATGCAAGTAGTGTCATACAGCGTTGCTTTTTCTCAGTTTGCAGCTTCTCTTTGAGGTGGTCTGACCCAGCGCAATACCAGAGAACAGGAGCTGCAGGTTGCGGCTGCAGGATGGAGCCTGCTAGGCTGCCAGGCTGCCTGTGACGGGGCTGGCCTTCCCCGCGGGGACACTTGGGTCTCTTTGCTTTGCGTTCTGACAGACTATCCTCTGGGGAAACTTCAGAGAGAAGGAGGCCTGCCGCCTCGCCCTGTCCTCTGCCTGCCTTGCGCTTTGTCCTGAGGCCTGCCCTTGCGCGCAGGCAGGTGGCAGGGCCCGGGGACGCTGGGATGGAGGACAGGAGCCCTCAGTCTTTTGGGGGAGACCACCCTCAGGGCAGCGATCCAGGAATCTTGCGGAAGGGGCTCTGGCAGGGGGCGGCCCCAAAGCCTGTTCTTTGGGAGATGCTGACACCGCGTCCCCTCCTGTGCTATGAACAATGACACGGGAGAGTCCCAAAGGACACTGGCCCCTTGGAGCCTGAATCCCCTTGAACAGCTGCCATGTGGTCCCATCCTGCGCATCTGGATATGTGGGCCACTCGTGTGTGAAGGTCCTAGGCCTCGCTGACTCTCAGAAGCCTCAGAGCACTCACTAACGTTCTTGCCATGCTATCGTACGTTAATAAAGCAGAAAAAGGGAATTATTAGCTCACATACCTGGAAATGAAAAGGCCAGAGGCAGAGCGGGATCCAGGTGTGTCAGGCTTAGGGGCTGTCTCCCTCTCTCAGCTCTTGGCATCATTTTCAGACAGCACCTCCTTGGGGCCGAAGGTGGCCCTCAGCAGCCCCACAGGGAGATCATATCTGCTCAGCGACCTCAGCAGACCAAGTACTCTCCTTCTCAAAAGCCCCAGCATTGGGGGATGGAGACGTCTTCTGGGCTGAAGAATTGTGTCCTCTGCAAAATTCCTCTGCTGAAGTGCTAACCCCCAGCACCTCAGAATGTGCCTGTATTTGGAAATACAGTCTTTGAAGAGGTAATGGAGTTCGAACGAGGTTGTAAAAGTGAGCCCGAATCCAATATGACTGGTGCCCTTATAAGAAGATTAAGACACAGATACACACAGCGGGAAGGCCAAGTGATGACAAGCGAAGGAGAGAGGCCTCAGAAGGAACCCACCCTGCTGACACCTTGATCTTGGACCTCCAGCCTCCAGAGCTGTGAGAAAACAAATGTCTGTTGTTTAAGCCCCCCAGGCTATGGTGCTTTGTCACAGCGGCCGAGCAAAGTGCCATAGGGAGCTGTTGTTGAATGGGTACAGAACTGCTGTTGGGAAAGATGGAAAAGTTCTGGAAATGGGTAGTGGAGATAGTTGTACACATTAAGAATGTGCAAAATACCATGGAATTGCGCACTTTTCAGTGGTT